TGTTTCATATGGAATCATCATTTCACTGTTTTACCTCATTACTGGCCCTGAAATGCGACCATCCAACTTTATTTGGAATGTGTTTATTTTGATCAAAAAATAAAACTGATGAGATGTCACATCTAATAATGTGCTGCTGTGTTGTTTTCAATGTCATACAGGACACAGATGATTTACACATCACTATTTATAGTTTGATTTAGATTCTACATACTGTCCCAACTCCTTCTGATTTGGGTTTCTATTTTAAGCTCTGAGGAAGGTGTGTTTCCTGTAACGTTACTTCATGTTTTGGATAAAGTCTGTGCTGCATACCATTATTAGTGCTCCTGTTTTTTGCAAGCATTTTGTTTATTTTATGAGTTTTGCACATCTTGAGCAGTTGCTCGGTTAGTTTGAGCGCACTAGCTACAGCTTTACTGATCTGCCTCAGCTCCTCTTTGTCAATTTGAGCTGTCTTTCTTATTACAGTTATTTCCATTAGTGCGTGACTTGTTTTCTGTTTGCAGGTACTCGGTGGTGAAGAGGGCGGACAACTCCCAGCTGCTCCTGGTGGCCACTGATCGCGCAGCTAGCATTGCAGCACTGCTGGGCACAGAGCTGCAGAGTGTAGGCACCTTCACAGGTTAAGCTCTCACACAAGTACACACACAACAGTCGCAGCGTGCGTCTTCTTCATCACAAAAATAAGCATGGCAATGTGCCTCGTCTGTCTCCTCCAAGGCTCCCAACTTGAAGGTGGGCTCTGCAAACATCCCACAATTCCTGACAAGGAAGTGCCCCTGTTGCCAGCCAATCATGTGACGATGGCAAAAGGAACAGGATTGGTCCACACAGCGCCAGCTCATGGCATGGACGACTACAGTGTGGCTTCACAGTTTAAACTGTCTGTGGTATGCTCTGCTTTTTCAGGAATTAATAAAAGCTTGCTGTTTATTATACATGGTTTTTGTTGTTGTTTTTTGTAGTTCAGGTGTACTCTAAACAGATACGTTGGCCCGAGTGGCCCTCTGGCAACATGGCAGGCTTGTAACTGTGTGTGTGTTCTGCTCCTACCCCAGGAGTGCACGGTGGATGAGGACGGCAAGTTCAATGAGCTGGCTGGTCCTGAGCTCCACAGTCTGTCTGTGATGACAGAAGGCACTGATAAAGGTACAGCAGAAATATGTAAAGAGAGGACATAACACACTCTCTTAGCGGACGTGGAAGTGCCTGTGTTTTTCATATTTTGCCTGTCTGTATCTTTTTATTTTTTTATTTATTTAACACGTTTGTGGATTTATTTGTGTCTGTGTTAGTGATTTCCATGCTGAAGGAGTGTGGGGCTCTGGTGAAAGAGGAGCAGTGCGTTCACAGCTATCCATACGACTGGAGGACCAAACAGCCCGTTGTCATCAGGCCCAGTAAACAGTGGTTCATCAACACAGCATCACTCAAAGACAAAGCCAAAGTAAGCTGGACCAACATGATCAAACTTGTTTTTATTCAGCTCTTGTTAGTGTTAAGGACATATAAAAAAAATAGTTCTTTGTGTACATAAAGTGCTGCGTTGTAATTTTCCCAGGAGGGATGTGCTCTTACAGTTTGTTTCCAGGGGGGAAAAATGATGTGTGTTTGTTTAGGAGGCGCTGCAGAAGGTGCGTGTTTTGCCAGAGTCGGCGAGGAGCAGCCTGCTGGCCATGCTGGACAAGCGGACGTACTGGTGCATCTCCAGGCAGCGAAGCTGGGGCGTCCCAATCCCAGTCTTCTATCACAGAGAGACTGGGGAGGCTCTCATCAACAAGTAAGGCGATATGCAGCGTGTATGCTGACATGTACACGCACATTTTAAGATATACAACAGACAAGCACAAAATCTCTGTTGTCTCAAACACACACAGGTTTTATTCTGAACCTTCTCCCTGTCTGGCCTCTGCAGGCACACAGTGTCCCACATAGCAGAGCTCTTCAAAGAAAAGGGCTGTGACTGTTGGTGGGAGCTTCCTGTTGAGGCTCTGCTGCCACCAGAGGTGCTCAAGAAGGTGAGTGTGTGTTAGTGTGTACCTAAGGGTGATTAACGAGCTAGGACTGAGGGGTGGATTTGAACCAGTGTCAGTGACACATCAGATGATATTAGCGCTGATGTACATAAGGTGCATGAGCAGTGTAATCATTCTCTCATTTGATGAATACAAATGTTTAATGCTATTAAGAGACTTCTCTACCTGCCACAAGTAATACATTTATTCAGAAAGTCTCATTGAAATATGTTTTTACTGCCCTTTACACTCCATTAAATTTTCAGCCTGCATGTACTATGTATGCATATACTCAGTGGTGGAAGAAGTGCACGGGCACTTTAGAGCGCCCTTCACTTGCTGCTTTAAAATGCCTTAGATTTGTGTTACTGCCTATTTAGATTTGTGTTATTGCTCATCTACTTTATATCTCATTTGTATTTTGTGGCATTCATGTGGACGGCAAAGTAAGAATTTCATTGTGCAGGGAAACACATTTCCTAACTGTGCATATGACAAACACTTTGACCTTTGACCTCTGTTGACATGTAAAAGTCCTGCATTCAAAAGTACAGACGTAATATATAGTTTTAAATATTAAGTACATAATACCAAAGGTAAAAATGCTTATTATGCATGGATTCAAATGACTGATTCTTTATTGTGTTCATCACTGTAATGTTGCACGTTGCATAACTGCCCTCTGTGCTGTTTTAATGATCATGTTTTGATTCTAATAATCATTTAATTTACTTTACATACTGTGCGTTTTCCACTCAAGACCAATACATTTGTGATTATAATATATTTTTCATTATTAATCTGATTCTGAAAAGTAACTTGTCTCTAAAGTTATCAAATAAATGTAATGGAGTAAAAGCACAAGACTTGCCTCTGAAATGTAGTGAAGACAAATAATAAAGTAGCAGAAAATGAAAACACTCCAAGTACAAATACAAAACTGTTTCCACCACTGTATATACTAAATGTGTACTGATTATTCTTTGAATTGTTTATGTATCCTAGAGAATGTCAGACCAGAATTGCCTATAGTCAGAGAAATGACGAATGTCATTACACGTTTGTCAGAGCACAGTGGACCCGTTTAAATTACTAGTTAAAAAACCCTTTAAAGTTATTAACGTAAAGTGGATGGTACAACAGCAGGTAATGCTACGACGAATGGCTCAAATTTACGGGTCAGAGTTCACAAATGACTGCATGACTGTGATTCCATTGTAATGGACTGATGTCACCTCAGTCATTGTAAGTACTGGTGTGACCAGACCCCAACCGCATTTATTAAAATGGTTAAACTGGAAGCTGCATTACTCACCAGCTGATCTGAATATATGAAATGGCCACTGTGGAGGGGCTTTCTCGTTTAAGACACCTCAAGATATTTAGCTCATTAGTTTATAGATGCAGAAATGAGTCATGCTGATAAATCCACAGTTATGCTACCTGTCCAGTAGGCAAACAAACTGTAGAAGAATAAGAACCAGCTGGAGAACATAAGCATCTAGCAGCTAGAGACACATTATTACTATGGGTTTATTTTTATTTATTTATTTATTTATTTTGGTCAGGGGTTGGGAGGGACTAAAGCAAAACTATAAAGGGAAGTAAATGTTGAATTCTTCTGCCTCCTAGTGGCCAAACATCTACCAATATAGCGGTAGCCTTAACAGACAGTAATGGGTAATTAATTCCTGTTTACATGTGTGTGTCTGTCAGAGTAACGCAGGTCCAGTGACTGACTACATCCGTGGAGAGGATGTGCTGGACATCTGGTTTGACAGCGGAGCATCATGGGCAGCTGTACTCGGAGGTACCTCTGATATTTCTATTCGTTTTGCAGATCAGTCTAAGTACAAATAGATTTTGTTGAAGTTGTGGTGATATACTGTAAAGTCTGATGACCCCTGAGTCTTCCTTCCTTTTTTCCATTAAGAGTGGCAGCAGTTCAGTGACTGCAAGCTTTCAGAGTGCCTCTAATCAAGTCTCCCTTAATGAGCTTTATTGGACAGAAAGCTGCTTAAACCTGCCTTACAGAGTCCACTGTGTGTGTGTGTGTGTGTGTGTGTGTGAAGGAAAAGCAGGAGTTTGCTGACCACCAGCTTGGATTAGAAGGCAATGCAGACTCAGCACACCAGGGTCTCCTAAGCAGTAGCTGACCTGCACACAGTAAAATAGCTGGTTTTGATTGCAGATACGCCACCAGATATACACCTAGCCTAGCTGCAGGTCTTCATGTAATTTCACTTGTTTCATGAGCTTGTGGGTTGATTCAGGGTGGAGGTGGATGAGGTTGAAAGCTGATTGTGCCTCTAATGCAAGGCTGCAGCACCTATCTGTTAGGAAGCTGTCTCTATGACATCTATCATCGTCCTGTGCTGCTGTTTTTGCCTATTTGAACCTTCTGTGTGAGGCCACTGCACACAGGAGTTGTCGCGCTCTCCACACTAACATTAGCTGGCTTTTTTTTGTCTTTTCTAGACATTGTTTTGCCATGTTTTTGTGTGTGCCAAGTATAGCACTGACTGATTTTTCTCTCTGCAACTTGCCCTCCTCCTCCAGAGCCGGACCCCAGGGCAGATGTCTACGTGGAGGGAAAGGACCAGCTCGGAGGCTGGTTTCAGTCATCCCTGCTCACCAGCGTAGCCGTCAGAAACAAGGCACCTTACAAGTGAGTGTTTGAATGATTGTAAATGACTAGAGCAGTGCACCAGATGCACAGAAATACAACATCTTGACTTCACCCTAACAATATGAAACACGTTGAAATTCACAGATGACATTTGAAGGAGGAAAACAGCTGGTGGACATTGCTCTCACAAGCCCACAGAAAGCTTTAGATTGTCGGTGTGTGTGTGTGATTAATAGTGCCACTTATTATCCATTAGTTTAGAGTTTCTGAAATTTCTTTAACTTTTATTTAACAAAAAGCCAAAGATGCTTCTGCTTAATTGCCAAGGACAATGCAATTAAGTCGCATTTTCAGTTCCCTGATGTTTAGGTGACGGTTAAGGGACATGTGGCAGTCAACACACAATACATACAAACACTAAATGAAACATTTGAATGTATTTGTCGTTAGTTGAATAATTCTATAACAAATCATTTTCCCAGTATGAGACTGGGGCAGCACAGTAGTGCGGGTTCGAACCTCTGTGGCGTTTGTGCAGGTCCACTATGGCAACCCCTGGCGGGGAGCAGCCCTAAGTCTGATCTAAGCCGTTTGTGCACGTAGGTCTCTGGTGGTCCATGGCTTTGCTGTCAGTGAGCATGGAGAGAAGATGTCCAAGTCTCTGGGCAATGTTGTGGATCCTGATACAGTCATTAATGGAGGGAAGGTGAGCTAATGGGAGAAATGGCGCTGTTTGTATTGTGGTTGTACGCCACTGGATGTAGAAGCTTTCACCTACTTCCGTTTTGGACACTGACCAAGCCAAAAATCTTTTATCATTCCCACCTCTTTCTCTCTCCTACACAACCGCCTCCCCTGTCTTTCGTTGTCTTCACCAGGACCCCAGTATGCCAGCGTACGGTGCAGATGTACTGCGTTGGTGGGTGGCAGAGTCGAATGTCTTCTCTGAGGTTCAGATTGGGCCCACTGCACTCAACTCAGCCAGAGACAGCATCTCCAAGGTATGAGTGCAACGGGACAGCAACGCATGCTTTATTTTCTGAGTGGCACTCAGTGGTTACGCACATCCTTCCCTGTGTGTTTTCTGTCCCAGTTGAGGAACACTCTGAAGTTCCTGCTTGGCAACCTGCAGGGCTTCGACCCGCGGGCTCAGGCCGTGGACCCCAAACAGATGCACTACATCGATCAGTACATGTTGCACTTGCTCCGAGAGTTCAGCATCAAGGTGCGTCGGGTGGTTTGACATGTGGTGAATGCTGCTGTGAAAGCCACTGAAGTTTGTATGTACCTGTATTTGCAGGTGACAGATGCCTACAGTGAGTTTGATGCCAGCAGGGTCATCCGTATCCTCCAGGCCTTCATCTCCAGAGACCTCTCCAGCTTTTACTTCAGCATCATCAAAGACAGGTAAAGGCACATGAACTCATGTGCTACTGTTACTTCAATATGTCAAGATCTCTATCTTTGTCTCACCTTCCATTCATTGCTTCATGTCTGCATCCTTCAGGTTGTACTGCGATTCAGAGGATTCGCTGGGCAGAAGATCATGTCAGACGGCTTTGGAAGAAATTCTGGACGGAGTGACCAGGTCCATAGCTCCTGTCCTGCCACACGTAGCTGAAGAGGTCTATCTATATGCCCCAGGACATGACAGTGTGTACCTGTTCTCTCGCTTTTGGATTTACTCCCTCTAAGTGTGTTTTCAGCTACGCTGTCTGTTCTGGTATTTGGTTTGTCACAAAAGTATTTTGGAACTGTTTATGCAGAAGGGGAGACGTTATTCAAAAGTGGCTGGATCAAAAGCAGTTCTGTGTGGCGGCGACCAGGATTAGAGGAGGCTGTGGAAGGGGCGTGTGCCATCAGGGACTCCTTCCTGTCTTCCATTCCAGGCAAAAACGCCGCCCAGTATGACCTCACTATTGCCATTGAACCTGGTCTGCTGTTTGAACTGATGGAGGTAAGTCAGATGTTAAAATGTCCTGTAATGAGTAAGTGGCCAGTGTTGCATTGCAGCTTTACAGGCATTTAATTTGGTAAGCGACGAAACGTATTTTATACTGGATAAGGTAATTATCAGTATTCTACTGCTGCATTGACTCATTATGGTTTACTCATTATTGCCACTAGTATTATCAAATGTGTGATCGGAACCAAAGACATTCCTAACGTTATAGTAGGTGTTAGACCAGTCCATGTAAAAGGACAGTATAACCACAAACTCACACCCTCCCCCACTTCACTTTCAGTCTCTCCAAGAGGAACCCACCTCCACCTCCTCCCAGCTGGCAGAGCTGATGATGGCAGCGCGTGTCAACCTGACCAGTGAGCTGCCCCGCGACCTGCCCCCCGACACCCTGCTGAGCCACGGCACCTTCCTCATCAACCTGGAGGGTGAGGACCATCGGCACTAAGCTGGTGAGGACCTGTCCTGCCCTTTGAGCACAGGTCTAACTAAGGGCCAGAGCCATAACACTGTGCCTGCTAGTTCAGAGCCATTGTTACTTCTATGAGTTAAACTTGGGGACTGAACTGCAAAGCATGATTACTAGGTTATCCAGCTGGTTTACACCCAGATCTGACTGGGCCATCAGATTTGGGTTTAGAATACAGATCAACAGAAACACAGAATTCACACACCTTAATATAACATGGGGCAGCGCGGTGGCACGGTTGTGTGTGCTGTTGTCTCACAGCGAGAAGGTTGCGGGTTCACGACCTTTCTGTGTGGAGTTTGCATGTTCTCCCTGTGCTTGCGTGGGTTCTCCCCGGCTACTACTCCGTTCTACTCCAGCTTCCTCCCACAGTCCAAAGACATGCGCCTTAGGTTGATTGGTGACTCTGAATTGCCCGTAGGAGTGAATGTGTGCATGTGAGTGGCTGCCTGCGTGTCGGCCCTGTGATGGACTGGCGGCCTGTCCAGGGTGTACCCCGCCTTCACCTGATTGCTGGCTGGGATTGGCTCCAGCCCCCCTGTTTGGAACTGAGAGGTATAGAAGATGAATGAATGAATAATATAACATGGAGAATGTCTTAGATTTTGATGAGAAGCATGTCAGAAATGTGCAGACTTCTAACAGGCACATTCTAATTCACCACACTGGCACATCAGTGAACGGTGGTCATAGTGAAAAATTAGCACACACATGGTTAATTAGCTTAGTAAATTATAAATGCAACATTTTGTTCAGAGAAATCTTATCAAGCATTTGTTTTTTGTACTTGGTAGACAGCTAAGTCTTCATAATTTTCAGAGGTTTGTTCGTCACAACAGGAAAAAAGGGCCAAAATGTCACTGCCCCTGACAAGGGAACATGTTTAAAATACAAACCATGTTTAAAAAGGCCTATGTGATAATTACCACACTTATTTAAAGCCTAATTTGAAATATGTACTTTTTCTATTTCAATAGCTTCTTACTGCACTGATTAGTTGTTATATCTTATTGTATATATTTCACTTTCTGCCATAACAAAATTTCAGGCGTCAGAACTTCATTAAATGTCATGTGAAGTACTCCACTCATGGTTATCTTGTAATTAGGAAATCCACCTCTTTAACATGAAAGCACTGGCTGGTAAACACAGTGTTAACTGAGCTGCGTGGTGTTTGGCTCAGTGAAGCTTTGTGATACATGCTGCCGTGCCTCTTCTGTTTGGGCACATACAATTGTTTGCAGTGGAAAAGCTCTACCAGTGTGAAAACCATGACTAAGCAGTGACTTCCAATGTGCTCACTGTGTGTGTGTAACTATCCTTGCAGGTGGTGTTATCCGTGAGGACAGTGCCTACAGTTTAGCGGTGGTGCCCACCTCTGCTGCCCGGTGCCCACGGTGCCGGCGCTACACTGCTGAGTCGGCAGATTGCCTGTGCCCACGCTGCCAGACTGTTGTTTCACAGGCTTAGTGACAGGCCAGACCTCCTGTCACCATGATGGCCAGCAAACATCACCAAGACTGTGCTGTGTTTGGGTGAAGTTGCCTTTGAGGACAGGCCAGATTTTACTTCCTTGTCGCTATCAGGTGAGAGACTAAACTGACTCAGCTATTGCCTCGGTCAGATTGTTGTCACTTTGGCCCCTACCAGCGAGGAGAAACTGCAGCTTGATGCAGGGTTGGCACTGAGAAGAAACTGCCTAACAGCAGATCATCACACTTGCTGTATGTCTGCTTCTGTTTGTTATGTATTTAGACGCCTGGCTTTAACAGCAGAGCTGACTGTGAACTCTAAAATCCAAAATATCCAAATGGCCTAGTCACTTGGCTTGAACGTTCCGGTTAAAAATTTGAGTTTGATACCACCGCAAAAGCTGATGCAGCATGGGCAAGACTGTTTAGTGTGTGTGTGTATATATTTATATATATTATCAATCCACACACACAGAGAAGGATTTTTTTTTAAATGTATGGAAAGGGAATTTACTACAGTGGGTGACACTAGATCATCTATAGTCCAGAAAGATGACAGGGGAAACGTTTGTATGATAAATCCTGTTCCTTGTGAAAATCCCTGGTAAACTGAAGCTATCCAGAAGAAATGTCTGAGTTATAAATAAATGCCATTTTATCCTGAAAGTGTCTTGATTCACTGTCATCAGAATGAAACAAGTAGCCAAGAACACTGCAACATAAACACTGAGGCTTTTCAGAAACCTCTTTATTCAGCCCTGGATTAGCCCAGTGGGAGCAGCTGGGCATAGGACTACAGAATAGGAGGTGTACAGGCACAGCTACTACATACTGTCTGGATATCATTTAAAAATAAGGTCTATATTTCTTTATGATACATCTCATGTTTGTGAGAGGGAAGAAGGAAGGAGATATGTCAAACAACTGAAAAGGCGCACGGCACCCGCACTGAGTTGAAGTCAAACAATGAAAATGAGGATCAAGTGACAGACAGACCCCATTCCTTAACAACCATCTCATAAACTTAAACTCTCAATAATACTTTTCAATACAGTTTGTTACATGCACAAAATTTAGATTAAAAAAAGTTAAAAGCCACTCTACACCACTACCTCCTACAGTTGTGAGAACAAATGTATAATAACAAAGTGAATGACCAAACACTAAACCTCCTCCATGACAGTGATGAGGGTGAGAAGGCTGTTTATCATCCTGACCGTCTGTCGTACACCAGTCCACATGGTGACGGGGTACAGACCCCGTTTAGTTTGGGTGGGGGCTGTTTACAGTTCTATCACTGCAAGAGAGACCAGCCTCCATTAGCTTTCCTCTCTCACTTTTCTTCTTCTTCCTCATCATCATCTTTCCATCTGCCTCCTATGGGGTCTTCAATGCCTCACCCTCCAGGGTCAGGCCTCGGTGTTGAGGACATCCACAGCCTCCATAAGGTGCAGGGCCAGGGTGTACTGGGCATGGTTCTCTGGAAGGATTTCAATCAGACGGCTGACGAGCCGGCTGGTCTGTGGCAGGGGGACCAGGGGGCACCGCAGCTCACTGGGGTCCTGCAACACAGGAAACTCATCATATTCTCTACATTGTTAAACAGGCAGCTAGGCCATTCAATGCAAACTACAAAGATGAAAAGCTTTGAGTAGGTCTTTTTGTAGTGACCAAATTTTCCTTAAATGCCATGTAGCTCCTTTTCCTGTGTTTGTCTGCACCATCTGTATTGACATTTTTCTACTTGGTTTTGAGGAAATGAGACCTGACGCGGGACTCAAGGTGAACCAGGTTCAAATTACAGTCAGTCTGCCACAGCTATCCTAAGGAGTCCTTTGGGACTGTTTAGCAGACTCTATGGACACTTGGTATTTCTAATTCCCAGAAGAAAGTACACCCGCCTCTGATGTACTCAGAGTTCTACCTTAGGAAGACTGATGTAAAGGGGCACATGATTTGGAACCACTGTGCAGCAGCAATGTTCCAGACCAGAAGTAGCTAAATGAGAAGTGCAGCCAAAGTTAGCTAAAGAAAGCTTTCTTTAGTGTGTGGGTCTCATTTTTACACAAAATAGATTTGGTCCTTAATCATGAATGGCTTCTTATTTCATTGAACTAGGGGTATAATTTACCTTTTACATGTATTTCAAATGTGCCACCCTTTTGTGAATCTGTACCCCCAGCCTGGCCACCCTGTCCAAAATGTTCTAGATGCACCCCTGAACACAGCGTGACTAAGTGACATCTGAATGTGACTGGATACCTAATGTAGGTTACCGTTATACGTTTGAAACAAAGTACACACACAAACAAAGCACAAATTGTAGATATTGGTGTAAGAGGCTAAAAACAGCTGCTGTGAGCTACAATCCACATGGATGATGGCTGTGAACATACTGTGACCCTTTTCAAAGAGAGGATCACCACACCAAGCCATTCTACATTTGAATCCTTGCATTAACTTGAAAGGTCCAAATGGTGAAAAAACAGATTCTCTACTCATCCTGTCCTCAGTCAGAAACTAGAGTCTGGTAATTCTAGCCTATCAAGTCTGAGCACAACTTTCAAAGCCATAAAGAATATCCAATATGCCTCTTTCAGACCTTTCAGCACTCGTTCCTCCTTTGGTCTCAAAATATCATATGGGTTAATTAACCTACTCTTGTTAGATGATTGCCAGATTAGTTCAAAAGATCGTTATGATATGAAAACATAATGAACAGCCTATTTATTGCAGTGTTTTTTCAAAGAAGCACGCAGCGGTCATGTGCATTACTGAGCTGACACTTTACTAAGCCAAAGGTTTTTATTAATGAAGTAGGTCTACTTTGTCAATACAAAATACAGGGTTCCTTATGGTTGTCCATCCACCCATCCATGATCTATACCACTTATTCCTGAATAGGGTTGCCAGTCTATCACTTACATGTACAGCCACAGGCCTGTTCTTACACGACATTAAAAAGCTGTGAGAATATTTTCTATACAGCCTATCCATTTTCAAATCAAAAACGTTTTCCAGCACAGTGCTGGAGAACTTTAAGCCCTGTGGGTATGTAAATTACATTTAGGCAAACGAGCATTTTGTCTGAGAATCTGAGTGACAGAGGTGTCTCACCATAGCCTTGAGCCATGTGCAGAGGGTTGGGGGCAGGCGGGCCAGCAGCTCCATAGCAGCCTGTGTCTGGATCTCACTGTGGAGTAGTGAGTAGCTCAGCCTCTGTCCAGTCAGCACCAACAGCTGGGAGCCCAGCACATCCTTATCTTCCACTTCTAACATCACCTGAAGGACAGATGAGGACAGGTCAAAGCACAATACTGCACTGAAGCTACAAAACTTGCATTATCTGTCTGCAGCAAAGAAAGAACAAACCGCATCTCCCTTACCTCCTCTGCCCGGAGGTCCAGGCCCTGGTTGTAGAGCTCACAGACAAGGTGCCGTCGCAGGATGTCAGGGTTGACCTGCAGCAGAGAACCCAGCTCCAGACACAGCGAGGGCCACCAGTCAGCCTTGGGGTCACTACAGGGCAGAGAGGGGGAACCGGCACCAGAAGCTGAGCTGAAAGGATCATCTATAGCCTGCACCCAACCGGTCAGCACCCGCAGGAGGAACTGAGACAGAGGAGATGTGGGAACAGAGATAAGACAACATCTATGGAGAATCATTTTCTTCTCATCCTCTGCATTTCAATCCACCTCTCACCTCTTGTCGTAGCAAGACCAGAGCTGGGTCCATGTCTCCACTGGGCATCAGCTGGATTGTTGTCAGATCTCTGAAGAAAGCATTCTTACCCTGTGAATAAATATCACACTAATATAATCATGTTGGTGCACAAATGAATCAGACTGTAGTCTTTAGTTTATTTACACATTAATGAAAGAGCATCAGCTCTAAAATAAATTCATAGAGGCTATATTAATACAAATATCAATTCAAAGTGGTCTGTAGATACAGCCAGATGTACACTGTTTAGACAGCAGAACAATAATGTGTGACAGGGAAGAGTTGGCATCAATCCTGTGTCCCTGTGTAAAAACATACCACATAACTTCACAGGCAACATGAGTATTTGTGTGTCTGTCTTCCCACCTTGCTGTCAAACAGGCTGAGTGGTTTGACCTTCAGACTGAAGGTCATAGCAGCATGTAGAAGGGAGGCTAACAGGCAGTGGTGTTGGACCAGAGGGTAGTGGACACCTCTCTGCTCCAAGGCCAGCTCAGCTATGGAGGCAGGGCCCTCTGCTCCACTCCACACCTCCTCCACAGACAGCTCCGGAGCAGAAACCTCATCCACCGCGGAGTCCACCTGCAGGGAAAACAACAGAGACACAAGTAAAGAACACGTGGCTCATTGACATTCTTATCACAACTACCAGTTGAGTTTGTAGTTAACACAGTCAGTTGCACAACATAGCACATGCACAAATTTTAATGTCCCCCCTCCAGTCAAAAATGAGCTTATTGTCCAATTCTATGAGTATTTAACTTGTACGTGAACTAGAGCTTGTGGGAAAACCAGATCAGACTGAATAGTTTATGTGACGTCTGGAAGGGCTCTTCAAATAAGTTAGCTACTATAGTAAATAGTGGCTTAGTGGTGGTAGTGATAGAGGTAATAGCACTAGTGGTAGCACTGATATGATGCTGATTAGTCACAGCAGCAGTACATTAGTAGCAGCACTTTTATAAAACAAATAGATCAACTACATCAAAAACAGCTGGCAATGATATGTTAGATACTGACTGTGTTACTTCAAAAACAGGTTTATATATAAATACTAATCTCACTTCCTTCTACTGTGAGTTGATAAAGCAAACACATCTACTAATGTGTTTGCTCCCTTCCAAGTTTAAAAGAAACAAGGAACAGACTGTGCTGGCCACGCTTCACTGGCCATGCTCTGTGCTGCAGTGATGCGAGGCACTGAGCATTCTCCATGCTGTTCTCTGCAATCGTTTTACTTACATAGTCATTTATAAAAGACAAAGGGCATTGATTCTTATCCAATACTCCAGTCACCTCCGCGAGGATCTGCAGCAGCTGGACACAGCAGCCCAGGAAACACGTCATGGCCTTGTCTTCCATCCCAACATCCTGCACACCAGCACATATCCTTAATATGCAACTTCATCTTATCAAGAACTGGCATCACATAATTTAATCTAGGATCATATTTTAGTTCCCGCACTGAAATACACTTACCCTTCGACATAAGCGATCTTTGGGTGCTTTCCCCACCTGGAAAAAGAAGCATACACTATTTATATAGACCCAGCAGTGTCTTCACAGACACACTGGATACTGTATGTACATGGTTTACCTTCTCTATGAGGAAGGCTGCTGCTGAGAAACGTTTGACAATGAACGTACTCCACATCATAGTACATATCCCTGCAAGGAAGATGCAACAAAGTCCAGTGACACACTAATGACTGCCACTTTATGAAAATCCTGGCTTTCAAAGTGGAGGCATTGACCTGACTACTGATAATGTGGCACCTCACAGCTACATAAAAACAAATATTAGATAGGTCAGACATTTTTATATACACGTATTTACAAGCATGTTAAAAAAGCCACTAACCTAGTTGGATGTGTGGACTGGAAACCAGCTTCAAATGTTCCACAGCCCAGCACAAGTATCGACCCTCCTAAGAAGAAAGGCAGGTGCAAGACCCGACGTAAGAACAAAGGTGAGTATCTCTTCACGTACAAAACCTGTCTTTCCCCTTTGGGAAACCAGCGTACTGAAGACCGTAGTGATAATATACACCAAATTCATAGGAACAGAAAGTCAGCAGTAAGATAAAATAGATTTTAAACACTCAATAGCTACTGTAATTTATAAACTATATCATTTATACATAATAAATCCAAATGTTTGTTCATATCCTGCACAATATGTGTACATTTGCGTGTATGTGCACCTCAGGGTCTTTGTTCCACTGCACCACATATTCCCAGCAGCAGTGGGAGAAGAGCAGGTCAGGTGAGAGGGAGTGTGGGAATTGCTGGCACACTGCCACTAATGACTCTGGAAAACACAGAGGACAGTGTTTGACTTGGATGTGACTTCAGGGCATCAAGAGGTTCCCTGAATAGTGGGCACAGCTGTTGCAGTTGTTACATTGTGCAAGCAGTTCTGTATGATTTTTACAAAGGCTCTTAACAGTCAGCGCAGTCAAAGTTCTTTAATGTGAGAGCCCATGTGTCATTTAATATCCAAAAGTGTGCATGTAAAGGTCCAGCACTCTGATCAGTTTGTGTTCACACTTCATTCCAGTTGCTGGATGTCTCTTAGTCCTGACCTGCTGTTCTGTCGGTGTCCTCTTGGCTCTGCTCATTCACCACATTTCCCTCTTCTCCTGCCTCCACTGTATCATCTGTATTTTTGTCTTCCTTCTTTTGGAGAATTTTTTTTAGTCGGTTGGGGGCCAAATTGTGCCTGAACACCCACTTGGAGACACTGTCAGCAACACCACCTTTACAGAGAGACAAGGAAAAACACTAAAACATAACAGAATCAGAATATGGATGCTAAAACCAGGAAGAAAGAGAAAACTTGAGCAAGGAAAAACACTAAAACATAACAGAACCAGAATATGGCTGAAATCCTTGCTGAAGACATGCCTGTTTCCAGCCTACCTGTGCCGCCCTCCAACAGTGTTTTAACAGAGCACTGTGCTGCAGCGCCACCTGTTGATCCCTGAGGACGAGGCACCAGAAGCAGAGTCTGCAGCACCAGTACATCCTCCAGCTGCCGAACACACACCACCCACTGCTCCAGCTCCAAGGACACCGTCTCCCACTCTGACTGCAACTATTACACGCAAAATGGACCAATGTGAATGTGGTGCACAATATTATAGCTAGCAGAAGGAACAGTGCTGTTATACTTTGCTATGGTATTCTACGGGTTTTCTGATTGTGCGAGTCAGACTTGTCTACCTTGCTGTCGGCCCTGCTGCTGATGCTAGCCTTAGCAGCGCGGTGAGCAACAAAGGCAGCTAGGAGAGCAGCAGCAGCGTTGTGGGACTGGATACATGCAGAGCGAACCTGCTGCCACCAGGGGGAGATGGACTGGGGATCCCATGACTCTTCAACTGCACCTGAAGAGATGAAGAACCAAGCAGGAAATGAAGCCAATGGGGCCACTTGAGACTGGCTCCAAAATAGAGTCAACCCCAATAGACTCCCATGTTAAATTGACCAGCTTTACAGAAATAAACATGTTTACAGCCTGGTAGAAAAAACTGTTTTGTCTCTTTAGCTAGTTTCCCCCTCCATGACAACTTTACAGGGAGTGAGTTTTTATACAACTTGTCCATTTATATTATATGGGCGCTTTCAGTGACAGGCAGGAGGGTCCCGTCATAGGTGGCTCACTCCTGGCCTCTTTTCCCATTTTTAAATTAGCCGTAGCAGGTGAAGCGAGACGCTACCAATATGCTGATGACCAGAGTTGAGCTTCATAACTGCTCTTAATAAAACCAGTGGGTGGCATGGTGGGTTTATATACAGTCAGTGGGAAGAACAACTAGCAACTCTCTCGTGAGCTTTCCTTTTTATTCACTGGTTGAGATAAACTGTATCTGAAACCAGCCAAGACTTGATGTGTCCTTCATCGTATAGACACACAAGTGAAAAGGCTACAGTAGCAGATGCTGGGCAGGAATACATACCTTTCATGTTGCTGAGGGCGATGAGGAGTGTGTATAGGTTTCTAACAGTTTCGTTAGGTTTCTGTAGCACCTCCTTCTCCCTGTGCAACCACATGCTCAGCAACAAAGACTGACAAAGAGAAATCCATTACGTTATATTGGTGGCACTGCTTAAAAAAAACATCCTAACTATCAGGATCCTATGATTTTTCTTGGAACAGCACCTACTGCTATGAACAATGTGCCCATTCTAAAATAACTGAATGCAATGTGAAAATGAACACCTCCCATAAATTTCTAAACACAAGATAATAAGGCCTGCATATTATTATCACCTTTGTCACTATTGTCTCATGTCTTTTTCTCCTGTAGACATTTTCATCTGTTAACCCTGACCACATTTTTAATTCTGTTAGGCAAAGTCACATCACCCATTCCATCAGCGAGTCTTTTCCTCAGTCTTACCAGTAGCTGCTGTGGCCTAATGCCAGCCTGCTGTAGTGTTTCACACGTTTCGTGGAGTGGCCTTTTCCCACACAGACAACCCCAGAACAGAAAGTTCCCTGCAAAGGATACACAAGAGCCAAGTCCTCAATCCATTAGTATGTTGTCCTCACTCTGCCCAATGTCCTTGATTTTTCTGAATATTATAAACAGTATTTGTTTCTTTTCTCCTCGTGTGTCAATCCTTCTTGTGCTACTTTTACACCTGCCCAGTTGATACACACAGTACAATGTACACCAGGTGTGTCTGGGACCGAATGAATCAAAAACTGGTGCAATCTGCCACACAGTGATTTATCAGTTTTCACTGACTTGGATAAACTTGTATCAGTGCACCTTGCCTGAGATAAGTAACTGGGTACAAGTCAAGGCACAGACTGTGCACACATTTGTTGCCATACCTAGCTGAGTCCATTCAGTTTCAGCCCCACGGATCACCTTCAGCTCCCCATCCTCTGTGCACTCTATTAGTGAGAGGAAGGCTTGGGCAGACAGGGGGGAGTCAGGCGAGTCCTGGACAAAGGTTACACTGGGTCGTGAGGTGAGCTCAGCGTAGCGTTGCAAGGTGGGGCCAACGCTGGACAACTCATCTTCTATGCCTTCTAGGGAGTCCTGCTATGTGGAGAGAAAGTATAAACTGGGGCACAATCGCATGTGTTTATTTTAGAATTATGAAGAATAATAATGAGGCTTAACGTGCCCACCAATAATATCACTGACCTAACTGGCAGATTCACCACAAACCCTAAGTTAGCCCATGTTATATGACGGTGTATTGCGGTTGGAAAATGTTTATGGCCGTAGCATTAACACGGCATCTGTATGTGTGTGTGTGTGTGCTCACAGTTTCAGAGCAGGCCTCTATTTCTGCAGCAGAGTGCAGCTGCTGGATGTCAGTGTAGAGCTGAAGCAGTTTCAGCTGTGAAGAGCAGAGCTGCAGTAATGCTGTGTCTACTTCCTCAGGGTCTGTAATGCAGAAATAAAACACCATTAATTAATAAAAAATACTTGAAATATGTATATTACCAAAGCTAATATAAACTAATCACCCTCTGCAAAACCACTTTCAAGCATTTAGCTGAACAAATAATTTGGCAACTGCTTCATGATGCTTTCATTTTAATATTCTACCTTAAAACTAATGAACTGACATTTTACCTTGTTGCTTCAGAGCATCATGTAAGGTGCATGTGATGTTAGTAAGACAAGAGACAGGAACATTTTTATTTGACAGCAGAGACTCCAGAGCCTAAAAGGAAATGCATAGACTACAGTTAGGATTCTGACTGCTGAACAAAATGTGCACATCTATTAGTATGTGAAGGCATTTGCACTGATCTTTAGTCATACCTGCTTCTTAATGGCAGGGTGTTTGATTTCCACCAACACATTTTTGGCTTCGCTCTCCAAAGTATCTATACAGAAAAAGGAACACAAATGCAAAGCTCATTCATCTAATACAGTTGCAGTGTATTTACATATTTACATGTAACATCTTCATTCAGCTCTCACTCCTGTATTTCCTACCAGGATCCACCTCTCTGTTCCTTAGGAGAGTAGTCAGCCTCTTTAACAGGTGCATGTCTTTGGCTCGCTCGCTCTTCTTGTCACTGAAATGGAGATGAGGCATAGCCTTGCATATAGTGTACAGACAGAGTATTGATCTTCTAACTCTTGGCAGGAAAACAAATAAGGGTATTTCACAAAATGCCAGATTTTCAGATTCTTTTAAAAAGCAAGTATGACAAACAGCGGATCTACTATATGTTTAAAATGAATGCGCGTTCTGCACCGACCTGAGGGCCAGGTGGAAGGGGATGTTCACTGTCCTCAGAGCTCCTGCGCTGGGATCCAGCAGACACACCTGCTGAGTGTGGAGCTGCCAGCCCTGACTGGTCACACTGTTCACCCCCATCAGACGATAGCCAGCGTACAGCAACCTGGAAGCACAAGGTTTCATGTATAAAGTGTGCTATTCCCGTTTGTCTCTCCTTAAGTGTCTGAGTATACAGCATACGCTTCTGTGATATGCCACATGTAGATGCAATTATGTTTTGTTTGTGATGTTTTTGAAGAAACATCTGTAGGAAAAAAAAAAGAAACTGCTTCATACCTGCAGTGTTTTCCCACAGTGAAAGCTCCAACTCGAGGCCCCTGCTGCATCCCCCACACCTCCAGAATTCCTCTGCGGGGGGCATAGATGACCAGGAACAGAGCATGCCGTCTGGGGAGGGAAGCAGAGGGGGAGAAATCCCAATCACCTCGCTCCTCTGGAACCTGCAGCCAACCCAGCTGGGCATCTCGGTATCCTGCAGTGAAGTTTAACTGATGAATAGTTACCGGCATCCTTTAAGGAATGTGCCATAAGACCACATGAATACTTATGACATATTACATTTTAACACAAACTTAAAGACAAGAGAAAGGGAAGAGAAGAGAGATCTACTGTCCAAGCTCTACCTTCTTAGCACATCTCTGTGCTTAACCTAAACAGTTCTTCACAAATATCCCCTTACAAAACCTCAGTATCATTCATTTCTCTCTCTCTACATTCCCCTCACCTTTCCACATGCGGATGGCGATGCCCCTTGCCAGGTCCAGCAGTGTGACTCGACCAAAGTCATCCGTCACTGCAGCCAACGTGTTGCAGGGGGAGAGACAGATGGACTCACCGTGGCGACGAGAGTCTGGGAGGCCAAATCTGGGTGATAGGACATGATTAACTGAAAGGGCATCCACCAGCTTCATTTTGCCAATACCAACAATGCACAAGAGGGGACTACTGCCTTTGTGTTGAGATGTAATTGTACCTGATTCCTAAGGGCGTTGCAGGCTCCACCTTGGGCTTCTGTTTCTGAAGAGCCTCCTCTTCATTCTTGTTCTTGTTCCAACCCAGCCACCCACTGAGAGGAACAGAGGGAGAAAGACAAAGAAAGTAGAGACAAGAGACAAAGGTGATGAGTCCCTTAGGAGATTAGAAATGTAATGAAGGTGAGAGCAGGGTGAGAAAAGATACACCAGGAGAACCTGATTGGGCTGCTTTGTGCTATTACAGCGGTAGAAGAGTGTCAACAGTGCAGGAGTAACCTGCACCTGACAAGTCTATTTGTCTTTTAAACAACTAGCTACACAAATAATGTCCTGGCTCCACCGTCGTTATTAGTCATTCACTTAGCCTTGTTTCTTGACTGTTATTGTATTATTTGTCTCGTTTGCTTCAGGACTATGTTACTCTTACTGATGCACACATGAACCCCTGGCTTGACACACACATTCATCACCACACCTGGCAGCGCTGAAGAGGGCTGAGGTGAGTTTACTGGCCACAGCCAGAGCCACGTGGGAAAGAAGAGGCTGGGAGCTTCCCTATGAACACACAAGGAACAGCCACATTCATTCACCTGTCTCTTACAGATCATTTATGTATAATGTAGGTACACACTCACCTCTACGGCATAGTAAAAGCCTGTGTAAGGGCCCCCTCCCACAGTGACATACTGGCTCATGGCGGGGGGGTTGCCCTTGACTGAAGCATTAAACCCCCCGAGGATAGAGGCGTTCTTCATCTGGTCAAAGACACAAAGCGTCATAATGCCTGACAGGAGGAAGAATGGATAAACACACAGGGACAGGATGAACAGAGATGTGGGAAAAGAACATTAGATTATTAAATTAAATACAAACAACACAGTACTTTCCTATGGAAGCCAATCACTCATTCTATTTTAAATTTCCAGTCAATCCACTAAGGCAATCAACCCCTAATATGAGTAAAAATCAACTCTTTCTTACCCACACTACTGTGGTCTACAATGTTATCCATGTCCTGCAGACCCCACTTCTTATAGGCTAAGGGAGGAGGCTGGATCACATCACTGCCTGCTGCTGTGGCTGGATGGACAGAGATGCAAACAGCAGGTGATGACATAAACAGCAGCTTCAATAAAAGGCATGACTTGCTTTTAGCTCATTTAAAATTGCACTGTCTCCAAAAGTAAGAACAGTGGCCTTAAGCCACGAATCATACTAATGGGTATGGTATACACACACACACACACACACACACACACACACAGCACGGCTTGGTGCTCAGTGAAATAAAACCCTGCTGTAGTTTGGCTACTAGTCCTCTAGAGGCTGCATAAGAGGCTATTTATGCTTTGTGCATCCACATGTCCGCTAAGGTTGAGTGATGTGATTTTTATCGCCTTTCCCAGGTCTGCACGGACTCTGTGTGGAAGTCAATAGTTTGTGTCCGCACAGCAAAAGCCCCGACTGCGCATATGCCATAATGCTTGGAAACCGTTTGCATACGCGGACAGAAGGCAGACACGAGTGTGTCTGTGTCCACATGAGGGTATGCGCAAAGTACGTTTGTCAACTAGAGGGTGTATGTGTGCGTGCAAGTCATATGCCATAATGCTTGGAAACCGTTTTGCATACGCGGACAGAAAGCAGACACGTGTGTGTCTGTGTCCACATGAGGGTATGGGCAAAGTACGTCTGTCCCTTAAGAGTGTATGTGTGCGTGCAAGCGTATATCTCCACAGTACCTGAATGCTTTAGAGCAGCAAGTAAAAAAAAAAAAAAAAAAAAGAAAGAAACCAAACACATTTTCTGTTTACATATGAACACACCCTGGCACAAGCACACGTGCACACACACACATACACACACACTACCTCTTGCAACCCGGTTCCTGCAGGCACGCAGAGACTGAAAGAGGCTGAAACCATCGATGGTGACCAGAGCAGCAGGGTAGAGGATACTTAACTCTTCATGCTGAGGTTGGATACAATGAATAAACACACATTTGCTAAAGCACCATGGAGGGAAAAGGTTGAACGCTCCAGAAACAGTAAGTGAACCTTGAGTGTAGAACATCTTAGCACATATAGTTTGCAAGTTTACCTCCACACTCAGTAAACACACAGTTAAAGGAATAGTTTGACATTTAGTGCTTATATGCCGTCTTGCTGAGAGTTAAATGAGAAGACTGACACTAGTCGCATGTCTGTACAATAACTGTGAAACATCCATCAGAAGCTGGGTAACTTAGTTTAGCATGAAGGCAAAACAGAGGAGAAACAGTTAACCTAGCTCTGTCCAAAGGTAATAAAACAGACCAACCAGCACCTCTAAAGCTCACTAATTAATACCCTACATCTCTTTGATTCCAAAAAAAGCTAAGTGTCAAAATGACACATTTACCATTTACAGGTTTGACTGATCTTCTAACCCAACTCTCATAAGACAGCGAATAAGCCTGTTTTTAAATCTGAACACAACTCTCACATACAGTTCTGACAGCAGTGTCTGGTGTGTACATTACCTGCTCAGTTACTCCAGGATGACGAGGAACCTCATATGTGCGACACTTGAGCCTCAAAACAGAGTCCTCGTGCAGCAGCTGGGCCAGGAGCAGTACCCCATTCTGATGACACACAATCGATTTTATATTTGATACTTTCTGTCTTGGCTATCTAAAGACTGGGTTGAATGACTTCCTGGTTCCTTTTTAGCTATCTGCATTAAGGCATTCATTACACAGGCTACCATGGCAGTGTATTACAAAGTGCTGTAGACTGGAGACATACCTCTGTGTAGAAGCGGACATAGCCAGACGTGAAACCCACTACTACACATGTCCAGTCAGGCCGCCCAGTGGAACTCCTGCAGATACACACACAAACATATACTATTAAAACAAGCTATAATCACATATTGTACATACAAAGCGTTTTACATTTTCACTTTCAGACATCTCCTCTATCACCCACACAAGTATTAACTTGCCTCTTTTGGCTTGCAAGGGGGATACAGATGGTGCTGCTCACACACTCTCTGGAGAGAGACAACACACACAAGGTTAGATGTAGTGTCTGTGTGTCTGAGCTCGCTTTTCTGTTGCATTTGTTTTTTCAACCTGATCCTTCTGTATTCCATAGATTTCTGTCATTGTAAAGATCTTTTCATCCCTCCCTGTAAGTTTCTTGCCTTTTGTTTTCCCTTATGTCATCTTCCTATATTGCTTGCCCTTAGATTAATGCTCATCTGTTGCCCTTTTAACATTTTCATTCCTTCTTCAAGAACAGAATTTTCCCCTCACCCTTCTTCAGCGCTGAGGGTTCCAGTCCAAGACACAGCCAAAGCCATCTCCTCTTTGCCACTGTCACTTGTATGCCACTTAGCTGTAAAAGAATCAATAAACATTAACTGCACTGTCACTTGTATGCCACTTAGCTGTGAAAGAATCAATAAACATTAACAGTGTAGAACTGCTCTGTGTACTTGGACATTACGGTGAGTGTGTTAGTGTTTGAATAACTGACCTGAGAGAAACACCGCCTTGTGTTCATGGGCCACCACCAGCAGGTCAGAGCAGGGCGACAGGGACACAACACAGTTCTGAAGCCAGGGTTCACTCTGCTCCATGGTCTCTTCCTCTAGCTGCAGTGCAAAGGGGGAAGTCAATGGGTGGGAAGGGATCAGTGCTTAGAACCTGCAGGCAATGCAAGTCTCAGGTAGGTATCAAGTATTGGAGAAAGTTGTCTGTGGCTTTTGTCAATTTATTAAGGGAATTTTCCTGCTATTTTCTCCTTAGGTTTGAAAAATTCAGCTAAACCTGCCCTCTAACCCTGGCCTGGAGACGATATCTATACTGTAGCTATGTGGCTCCTCTGGTGCAGCCCGCCACATAATGTCTGCATTATAATTTAACTATTCAACTAGTTCTAGTTTAATAAAATAATATTATTAAGAACCTCTGCTTATAAAATACAGGGTAATTATGGGATAATTAGGCAATATCAGCATGGTTTAAGCAAACGATAATCAAACACTTAATTGTCATTGTGTTTTGGTAGCAACAAGATGACGTTGCAAAACCAAATGACACTTGCTGCTGAATATTGTAGGGCAACAATTAATGAGATACAAAAAGAAATAAAGGCAAACCGTTGTGGCAGAGGTGGCTTCCTCCTCTTTGTCCCACGCTGACTCCCAGTCTGAGGTATCCCAAGACAATTCATTATCTGCTAAGGAAAAAGTGAACAATTACATAAATTAGTTTGGAAAGTCACACTGACAGAGGTCTGTGTGCAGTGGTTAGGACCTGCTCAAGCCTTGCTTTCCTAAAGATCACATCATACCCTTCTGGCAGCCAACACACAACACATATAACAGCGAGTAAACCTAAGTTCCAAGGGTGTGGATTTTCAGGCTGATGTCAAAGCAGACAGGTAAATGGAAATGAGGAATGAGAGAGGACAAGAAGGGAAAGGCTAACAAATGTTGTGCAACAGGGAAATATCCTAAAACATTTAACAGTGGCTGGAAGTGAACAAGTAACAAAATCCTGTAGCCATGGACATTTATAAGTCTTTTAGTGCAGTGTGACTGCACTAAAAGACTGAAGTGATGACTCATTCTGCTTGTCTATATCCATCAGCACCATAAGGCCCCTTTCTGTATGTCTGCTCTTCATGTGGACTGACTCACAGCAAAAAGTGCAGACACATTTCACGTCCCCTTTCTGTGCCCTGCTGATGCGCCTTCATAATAGCTTTGCACACCCTTATTACTTGATGTAGCGTCAGCTCACGACCACTTCATTCCTCCAGTTGTAACCAGTATATTTGCCAGTGTAGCTGCCGACACAACGAACTTCCTCCCAGCTTTACAACCTTTATCTTCCTCGCTACAGCGAAATGTGGCGATATGCATGACGTTTCCTTACATTAGTTGGCAACCGCCTTATTTTCCTTTATGTCATGGCTAGCTAGGTCCAGAGGCGGCACTGCGAAACAGTGATTAGTGCTGTCGCCTCATAACAAGCAGGTTCCGGGTTCGAGCCCGGGGCCTTTCTATGCATGTTCCCCCTCTGCCTGAATGGGTTCTCTCCGGGTCTTCCCCCACACACATGCAGCTTAGGTTGTTTGTTGACTCTAAATTGCTGGTAGGAGAGAATGTGAGTGTTTACGTGTCAGCCCTGTGTCCAGGGTGGACCCCGCCTCTCTCCAGCGTCAGCTGGGATTGGCCTCAGCCCCCCGCGACCCTATTCAGAATAAGCGGTATAGATGAATATGAATGTAGCTAAATGTACTGCTGTGACTTCAGTGAACATATGCGCTAGCATGTTACAGACACGCATTTGCCCTGCTCATCTAACGTCAGACGTGGTACCTGTTTCATTCGCATCCTCTACTGGCTCCGTTTTCTGGTTGTGGAACAAGAAGTCCCGGACTGTTTTCAGCTCTTGGAGCCGACAAAACTCCAATAAGCTGCAGGACATTTCTTTCCCGTCCCGTCAGGATCCAAATAGGCACGGAATCAGTCAGTTAGCCTGCTTGCTAACAGTCCAGTTCAAAGTATATCAACGTAGCTAAGCAGTTTGGATCCGTTTGCAAGTCCTTCTATGGTGTTAACTCTGTGACATCCGGTTTGGCGACTGTATCTCTCATCTGTCTTACACAGTCCCCCCCACAGAAATAAGAAGACAAGTCTGCTAACGGTATTTTTCTCTATATTTACAGTTCCCACCCAGATCCTATTGCGTGTCTGATACATCATTAACCTTTTAACACAGATTTTCTTCCGGGTTACTCCTGAGTCAAAACTTTCAAAATAAAAGCAGGAAACGCTGCATTTGCTACTTCCGTTTACAAATGAGAACTTAAATGACATGGCAGATTGATATATAGTCAGAAGATCTGTAACATTTTTCATTGATATTTACAAACGGGTTATCGTTAGATCTCAAGATCACACCCAAGGTTCACATTAGTATATGGGGAAATATATCTAACATTACAGGGAAACAGACTTCACTTCCAGATTCTGCTGAGTCTTTCTATCCAACGCTAGGTTCTTTGCCACCAGAGGGTGGTAGAGGAACATGTTTTAGCTGGACTGCTGGAGCATGTCTTTCTTTTTTCTCCCAGCTCTCACAAATCCTCAGTTACCAGTTTATTGGGTACACAGGCTAAAACTATAACGCAGTCTAAGCCAACAGTCTGACAATAAATCCTAATGATAACTGTAATCAGTTACAGTTACTGAGAACAAAATATTTAATCAAATTACAGTTACGAATCAAAATGTTGTTGATTACAAAGAAGTTACATCTGAATATACATTATTCAGTTCAGTAAAAAACTTATATGTATGTATAACATTCACTCTGTTGCTGTGCATCTTTAGACCTTGTAAAAACTTTTTTTTGGCACATTTACAGACAGTTTGGGTCAACAAAGCCTCTGGAACAAATAACACCATCAAGTGGAGGATGACTTACAAGGAGCTGTCTCTACATCTAGTTAGGCTCCATTCATTTGGCAGCATGAGTTCAATTTTGAATGCTTTTGATTGATTCTGTTTGAATTGGCACCACCTCTCATCTGTCAATCACATCAACACAGGTTGCTTTAAGCAGTTTGGCTGTGACAGTAATAAGTGTCCGGTACAGTTGTGAGGTTTACACTGCCTGGTTTACATTTATGTTAGATGTTTCAGCTTTATTACCCAGTTCAAAACAGGAAAGTTTTCAAAAACTAATTAAAAGTTTTATTAAATTTAATTAATTTGTTATATTCATTAATGTTAATTTAGTTAAAATTTGATTACATTTTAATTAAACATTACATTACTTTGATGAAGTAATTAGTAAAATAGTTGTATTACTTACTAGATTTTCAACAGGGTAACTAGTAATCTGTAACCTATTACAATTCAAAAATAACCCTCCCAACTCTGCCTGAGGCCAACATGACCAGGTGTTATTGACATTGTTCAATGCAGCTCAGTGTCTCTTTTTCCCATCCTCTCTTGACATGCTTTAAAAAGCAATGGGCATTTTGCCAGTGTAGTTCCTGCATCCTCACTTACAGTCCCACTTGGCTCTCACATACAACACACATACACACACTTACAGTATGGTGCATGTACACTTAAACATACAGGTATAAGCTCACCTCTGAGGGTATCCAAAAGTTTCCGGTCCGGAAAGACGGACACTAAAACCCAGGAAACAATTGGTTGTCAGAAAGGTCCTTGGAACCAAATCAGTAACATTTCCCCATCCTGGACCAATCCATATTGAGCTGTTGTTGCTTCGGCTATTTCAGAGGCCACAGAAACAGCTCTCCGGTCCCGTTTTCCTTTGTTGATGAGGAAGCGAGCTGGTATCATTCTGTCCCAGGATTGACATGTTGTTGATTCACAAAGAGAGATGGCAGTGAGTTATTTATGCACACTGTGCACTGTTTTAAGACCTTGGGCGCTTTGAGGATTGTTTGGTGTTGCGGGCATTTCGATTAAGATATTCTTCTTGATAGCCATTCAAAGAAGCAACTGAGTGACATGTAGCACAATGGGATGGTGGAATTAGAATAAATATAATTAAGCCAAGACTTAAAAAAAAATTACATGCATGTAAGACACATTGGTGACCAATATTAAATTGATTTAGTTGCTGTATGTTCTGACTTTAAGGTCTTTGCCAACCTCGAACACTGCCTTGCTGTAATGTATTCACGAGCACACGCTATGTCTGGGAAACACACTTTGAAGGAAGCAGTGCAGTGTGAAAGATGGAGACTGGCTGTCACACTCCTTGCATAATCTTACACTAGAAGTAACTAATACTCAGACATGGTCTGAAAACACTACAGGCGAGTGTGAATAGGATTCTAGTCTTAAACTTATGCATATTGGAGGCTGAAGTGTGAGAAATCAAACATCAAATATTTAAAAAGTATATCTTGAAGATGTTTTTGACTTTTATCACATTAAATGGCAAAATAATGAGCTATTTTTTAGCCCATGCCTGCTGGTTGTGTTACGCTAACCAACGTATCAATGTCACATTTCAGTAGCTCACTAACACCAAGTTAACAATGCTGATAGGAGGGAATGTACACATGCTTGTAAAAAACTAAAGCAAGGTCTAAGGGAAACTTCCTCAGAAGACTGTCAAGATTGTAATAAGGATCCAGAGATTATGACAAATAAAATCTGCTCTTTGAACTGTGCAGTGGAAGTCTCAAGGTGCTCAGTAGCAATATGTAACCAGTTTGTTTTTGCTATCTTCAGGTGTAAGGCCTTCAGTATTTAGTGTGGTTTTGGTGTATGTTTCCAGATCCTATCAGCAGGTTAGAAGTCAACAAACCAAACTGAGCTATGCCTTTATCTCAAAAGAGCAAATGACTCCTTATTCCTTATCATCATTAATCTTGCTCTTACATTTCCCCAACCATACAGAAACATCACTGCTGACGCTGTGGAAAATGTGAAAAAGTGTAAATGCTGTGAAGATGAGAAGACTCTGATGCTCCTTTGCCTGTGGTTATTGCAGAATGAGAATGAAGGCATTCATAACCTCAAAACAAGTATATATACTGACACTGGCTCTGAATCAGCCCATTGATGCTCATCACAAAGAGTAACTGAGACTAGTCAAAGTCCTGAGGCATCTCTCAAATTAGTTTTTTTGATGATGAGACCAGCCTTACATCCTCCCTTGTCTTTGCATTGTGATGCCTGGCACATAGTGCACAACACCTCCTGTGAGCCATAGTACTAATCCTCGCAGGATATGGATGATACGAGATGTTTATTTGCCCATAGACAAATAAAATGTTCACACGTTATCAAGAAGGTAAAGCAACCTATAATGGAGCAGAAGATTTTGCTGTTCTCAACTTCTGAAATCTGGTGCCATGATTTAAAGGCCCTCAAAACCTCTTTGCTCATTCATCTTCCTGCTGTGAGTTATGGGATCCGACACGTACACAAAATTATCTGAGTGTTTAAATAATTGATTATAGGATTTTTGTATTTGCGTTTTTGTTTGAACTCTTTCTGTTGGAAAAGATGTCACATACTCATATGAAACAATCCAAATTTCACATTATTCAAATCACAATGATTACAGTTTGTGGGCTGTTTGCTTCTGTTGCCAGACGTGTCAATCAAATTTGATTAAATCACACATGCACCAGCTGGAGTGAGCTGCAGCTTTTGAATAAATGGTAAATGGACTGCACTTATATGAGTGTTAACTGTTAACTTTTGGGTTAAGTTGCCACAGCATACATACATCCATACAAAAATACCCAAAAAGTACTACAAAAAAGTTTAGTTAGACAGAATTAAACAGCAGTGGCTTCAGTATCATCTGTACATACTGGACCAAACTTTGGAGTGAGGAACTTGAAGACATAAAAGAGGGCTGATTTAAGTTGTGCCTGGACTCCCACAGTAACTGGAGGCATTCTGAGTTTCCACCAGGCTCAGCACAAGTGAGCCCTGTCTTTAGTTTGGTTCAGTAACCATCATCAGTTAAGGCCTCAGCACTAAAAATTTATGAGGGTGAAGGTTAAACAACGCCACCCATTCTGGTAAAACAGTGATGGCGGAAATGCAGTTAGGGATGTTTCCACTGCAGATTTTTAAACTGTGAATCTGTGCTTCACATGCCATCAACCTGAGAAGCAATAACACCAGAAAGTAATCAAAATATCAGTGTGTTGCTGACCAATTCATTTTTTCTTCCAAATTCATGTTAGAACTTAACACGGGCATGTCTCTTAATTGAATTCTTCTGCTGAAAAAGAATGTTTATTGAATGATATGAGTATTTATATAAATCTGAATGTTTATTGTTCTCTGGTGCCAACAACAGCTTGCCATTATGCACACATTAATCTAATGTCTTTTCAGAAGATTGAAACATGAACAGCCTCTCTCAAGTAGTTCCATACTTAATAAAACTTGCCTGCATTCCAATCATGAACTGATATTCTAAAAAACTACTAAAGTAAATTTACAACACAAACAGATATTATGCAGGAATTCACCCGGTTTGTGCACAGAATAGTAGCAATTGTTCGGTTTTCAGTGTTGGGATTATGTCTGTGTTTGCATTTCGGCTTTCTGCTCCTTTTGCAGTGTGGTTCACTCATCTGACAGCATGATCTTGAAGTGTGTTGGTATAATGAGCAATGCCAGGCACCACAATAAGCTTGTACACTACGAAGATTTTGCACATGAAGTTGTTGACACTGAGGAGGACTAGTTGCATAAGAATGTCTACGGAAATAGCAGGTGTTTCCTTATGGCACCCTGTCAACCAGCAGATGGTTTTCTAAGTAAGATTCCCAGATCCAAGAATACATATTTAAACTTCTCCAAAATAAGGCTACATTTTACTAAACTAAAATATCTGACTTGTGTACACACTTAAAGTTTTTAATTATTTAAACTTCCAGGTAAATGGTCAAATATTTCCAGTTAAGCAACATTTATTTTGTGGATGAGGAAATACCCCAGTTTTAGCTGACAGTGAGTTTCATTAGCCACAATACAGTGAAGATTGAAGAACTGTTGTGAAACCTACACGGAAAAAAATTAACTGAAAAGCTGGCTTCACAATTGCTACTCTGGATTTTCCACGACACGGGTGAGCTCACAAAAGAATGGCCAAACCAGATGCAGCAGAGACCAATATCCTGACTTAGTCCCTGTGGGTCAAACCCCATAACACCTCACATTTCCCATAACTCATTTCAGTAGCACCGCTCATTAGACCCTATCTGCATTCTGAATACCGATTTCTTTTAAATGCAAAAGCCTTTTTACCATGACTTCTGTTTTAACATCTTTGTTTAGCATGTTACACTGCAGACACATGGAATTACCACTAAATACAAACAACAACAAAATTTCATGGCATCCATTTGTTGAGAGGTTTCTTTCTGAAGTGATGAACTGACATTGCCGATAGTGTGGCTGAAAATTTTTCTCATGGAGATCTCCTGTCATAAGACACAGAAGAGGTACTGTACAACTACTCAATAGTACACCACATGACGTGCACACCGAGGCTCATGCGTAAAAACAGCTGGACTTATCCTTGAATATAATGTAATGATCTGAACAATACTGAAGTTTTATTCAATGTTTATTACACGTAAAATATATTTAGTTAGAAATTCATATACACAAATAATTTAATCATTAAAAAGACAATGAAAACAGAAATATACTGGAGTTTTTACAAACACAGTGGCACAACATTCAGAGGAAAACTTGGGACAATGGGTTAAACCAGCCTAACCTGTTCTTTGTTAATGATCTAGTGACGTGGTTAAAAATCAGCCCATACACGTACAGTACCAGTTACATAGTAATGGTGGACTATGACACTCGGGAAACCCAGTGAAAGAGAGACTAAGGGATGAAATGCACAAAAACGGTGACCCTGCGATGAAATGCAAAAGAGCAGGAAAAGGAAATAAAACAAAAACACCCAGTGTGAATGATTACATCATTTCAGTGACTCATTGCAAGTACATTCTAATGTACATGAAACACTGTACTGTATATCCTCTGCTATATAACATGGTTGGGTAGTACGTCTTGAACCTGGCATGATCGTAGCCTTGTGTGACACGGCCTCACTGCCATTTTATCATTCATAGTAACAATGTTTCAAGTTTGTGTGTGCAAGCGAACATGTGCAAAAGGCTGTGCAGTTAGCAGAACAGCAAAGGGCTCTTTCAAAAGACTAGAAACTACTGGACATTATATTTTGGCCCCTCAAGGTTACAGTTTTGTTCATATGAAACAAAAGGCAAATATAACACACCAATTGAGAACACCAACACTGCTGTCTGTGCCATCACTAAAACATTCATCAAGAGGATAGTGATCTATTAGAAGTTAACCTTGGCTGCCTGTCATAGGCAGTACTTCAGTATTTATGCCAGTGCGAGCCCCTAAAGGCAAACACGCAGCAAGGCCATGTCTTGAACAGGGCTGTGTTTGTAGCTGCTGATGGGCTCTGAGCCAGTATTTACATGGCAAATACAATGAAGTAATGGACAAAAACTCTGCCCACCTGATTGTATGACGGTGCGTTGGAAGGAAACAAAACTTGCAAAACTGTAAAAAACACCTCCATCAGTTGCCCCCACTTATCCAGTCGGAGGAAGACAGGGTTCATATCATTGGATCTGAATCACCTTTTGTTAACCACACGCAACCATGACCTGTGGTCAGGGTCATTCTTCAATTGTACTTTGTTTGCCATTTTCATTGCTGTTTCCTGTGGTGTGCCACCTCCCCAATGCCAAATCAGTAGTTTAAAACCAAAAATATATCAAGAGGGCAATGTCCCTGTAGGATGTATATTATTTTTCTTACTTATTGGCCATCTTCATGGAACTACGACTTGTTTTTTGTAGAAAATATCACATTGTTTTGATACTTAATATGGCTGCGGGTAACAAAGGTGATTCAGATCCATTTATTTGAACCCTGTCTTCCTCCAATTTGATAACTGATGGTGTGTACGCAAATGGAAGGTGGTCATGTTTACTGACATACCTGATAAAGGTCATACAGACAGAACTGGTGTGGACTTAAACTATTGAGCCTAAGTGAGAAAAATACCCTGAAATGAAAAGTTGTTAAAGAGATATAAAGAACATTTGTGCTGTGAAAGTTATATTTCCATTACACACAGTCATGGTACAGGGCCCAGAAGCCAATAATTTGACAACTGACATGCTGTCAGCAGCAAAACAGAACAGCAAAGTGTTCACGAAAGCAGTTTGAGTGTATTTTGAGAGGTATATACTGTACGGTAAATCACAATGGGGGGGGATCATTTGCCAAGCTGATTTTTTTTAAAACAGGAATTTAAAAAACACTTGAAACTGAAGGACACAAAATAATCCGTTAGAGTATTCAGCCATAAATGGTTCTCCTCTCTTTATAAAAGGAATGAATTTCCTTGTAACTTGACTCTCTGTTGGTTTTAGGAGTCTCAGATGCTGCCTGTGCATCACTGATGACCTCTAGTGCAGTCACAAGTTTGTTGCATAGACTCAAAACAAACGGCAATCTCAAACAACACAAGTTGTCAAGGGCTTCACAAAATAAATAGCAAAGAAACAAGAGGGAGAAATGCCCCCTAACCCCTTCATCTTCTTCAAGGACAAATTTTTGGCTCAGGTTTTAAGAAGACAATTGGCACATGGAACAGACTTTTGAACTTGTTTGGTGCATTTGTGCAATGGAAGATTTAAACCCATGGATCCACTGAATAAAAAGCTACCATGTCCTTCATTTTAATAAATAATATAAATAACACCAATATGGTGAATATGCATTGAAGAAACTATGAGAAAACATATACATTTTCATGAGTAAAAGTCTCATGAAAAATAGTTCTTGTTTGGACATTACAATAAAATGTGCCACATAAAGTTTCCAAAGCTGTGTAAAAACCAAATACAACAGATGTTAAATACTCATACGTCAAGCTCTGTAATCCATATCCATTTACACGTTGCAGGAAGCTCAGCTGAAATGAGTCAAAATGAAATTCCAAATTTAAAACTTGATCTTAGCTTTACAGTTCCATAATCAAACCCTGAAAGTGCAATGGGACATTGAATATCCATTCAGTTGGGAGTTCAATAGGCAAACCTAGCTAAAGCTAATACAGTTTAACACAGCTCTACTGGATTAGACTGACTTAGTTTTAGCTAGGCATACCTAATAAACTGCCAACAGAGTATATTTAAATGCCAACCAAGTCAACCATAGAGGACCAGGAAGATGCGTTGACTTTACATTTTTAAAGACTACCAACTCAGGGTCCTGTGTTTTCTTCCTTTGCATATTCCTCTACAAGTTTCTCATAGGATTGACTGTATTCTGAACTGTCACTAGTGAACACAGACCCCTCAGATTCTGAACTTGTTTCTTGCTTAGAGTTTGTTTCAATGTTTTCATCACATGTGGTAATGGATAGTTTTGCTTTAGAATCCTCATCGTCATCCTCCATCTCCTCCTTTTCCTCCTCCAAGTTATTGCTGAGAAAGTTCTCCTCGTCAATAAACGTAATGTTCGCATTTTTAAATGTTAAGGACCGGTACTCTTTAGAATCCCATGTCCTCTGACCACCTGTTCCGCAGTCTGCCACTCCTCCGGTCTCCAAGTCGGCATCCTTGTCAAGTTGGTTTTCAAACATTTGGTCCCCGTCAAGTTCTAGTTCACCCTCTAGACTTTCCTCCGTTAACAGCAAACCACTGTCTGAGCCCAGCAGGTAGCTCTTGGACTTGGAAAAAGCAACAGTGACACGGTCACTAAAACTATAGTGTCGCTTTTGGCGAGGTGAACGATCAAGACTGAGGATGGTGTGGCCATTAAACACGGGAGCATCATTGCAACTCTTTGAACGAACAGTCTCTTTTGGATTATTGGTAGTGCTGCTAGTGCTGCTGTTGGTTCTGCCATCCTTTTTTGTGCCAATCTGCTTTATCAAGTCATTGTAGCCTTCCTTCTTTTTGGACAAGAAGCCGAAGATGTTGACATCATTAGAAGGGGGTGGCAAAGGAAGGGCAGCCTTGTGAGATTCCTTGTATTGTTGGAGCTCATCAAGAGAGAGTTTGCGCAGTTTGCGCCGTTTCTTCAGGGCCTTGTGAGCTTCAATCACCATACGCACTTTCCAGTTAAAAAACAAAGACAGCCAGGCCAACCCCAGGTAAATCCACACTTCCACAAAGTAACGGTACAGAGCTGGGTAATCTTTATTTGGATCCACACCTGGAAGGTCAGTGAAAATGGTCAGTGGTCATTTAAATCCAGTTCTGGCCTGGGCTCATCTGATTGGTTCAATCAAAAGAATTGTTGAGATTAACCATAATTCTTGTTCTAACCTGTGTACAACTTGGATGTGACAAACAACTGATCCAAAAACTGTCTCAGAAATGTGATACGTTAAAGGCAATCAAGGGGAACGTGTTTTAAGCTTTTAACTACAGGTTTTCAGGCTTAAGTTAATAAACTACAAGTATTTTTTTCTCAACTTACCTGCTACCAGGTCCCCAAAGCCAACTGTAGTCAAGGTGACAAATGAGAAATACAAGCCTTCAATGTATGTCCAACCCTCCTGGCACATAAACACAAAAGGTGGAAGAACTAAATGGATCAGCACACCCCAGAGCAGAAAAATTGCTGTGCAGGTAAACTGAGCCTTCCTCTGGAAAAGAATAAAACATTACTTCAGGTGAGGATTTTGCAATACCCTAGAGAGATGAAAATACATTTGCCTGAAATAGAAAAATAAAGTCCATATCAACTTACCAGTGAAAATCTTTTCTTAGTCAGATACTGGCCCAGGTGCTTGGCTCTACCACCGAAGAACTTTCCTAGCTCACTGATCCAGGTAAGACACAAAGGTATGCCAAACAGACCATAGAAGATGCAAAATACACGGCCTGTTGACGTCTTGGGAGCAATGTTCCCATATCCTTTAAAAAATTGAAAATAAAAACAAATGTAATGATTAGGTTGTTTCTCTTTAGTATGACTTCAGAAGAAGGACATTACAAAAAGCCGGGCCACTAATATGGGTTTTCTTAACCCAAGTTCATTTCATTAGTGGTGTTGCCTTCTAAAGTTGCCTGAAAGCTCAATGCATATTTGTGCTGGCAATAGTAATATGATATTTTGTTTATAAAAATGACTTTTATAAACAAAAAAAAATAAAGCCCCCTTTCCCAGTCAGAAGTGGATCCACCACAGATGAACCTCCAAAAGCGCTTACCAATAGTGGTGATAACCGTAGCAGCAAAGATAACAGCATTTGGCCAATTCCAGTTGTTGAAGGTCTTATTGCCAGTTATAGTGACCCCTTGGCCTGCAGCATCAGACACCACCTGAGCACAGAGAAAATAAAGGCCACAAGTGAGAACAGTCTGGAATTCAACTTTAAGAAGAATGAAAGAACAACAGGTGGATGCTATCAATTGGCAGTTTTAAGAGTTAAGCCTGGCTAAGCAAAAGGAACACAGGAAGTTTGCTGTGTGCAAGCTTTATTTCTTCTACTACATCCTTCCTGTGATATGCTGATGATATCGCCAGTGTTATTGATGGACTGAAACGACACTTGGGCACCTTGGAGATTTGCCTTTAACCTGAGGGCTTTGTAGTTCTTACCACTGCTTACTTTGATATGGAAACAGGAAGACATATGCTGGATCCCTAAAGAGCCATTTCATAATCGCACGATAATATGTGGATTCAAAAGCACCAGGTGGTTCCTCACCGGCTGATTTGCTTTTGCACTGAACATAAACAAGACAAAAAAACAAAAACAAAACAAAACTATCATGCTATGCTTAATCCACAGGCGATATGTGTCTTGAGAATAGCATACATTGGCCCACTTCTGCAGCAAACTTTACTGTGTTGAAATTCAGAGTCAGAAAACACAATCATTCTCAACCAAATGTATGCTCACAACAGAAACCGCATTAGCCCTCGACTGTTTTGAAAACACCTGGCCATGTGTGCTATGACAATGCACTCCCTCACACACCAAAGTTCTTCCTTCTCCAAATGTGCTGAAAGGGTGGAAATGTGCATGGGTTGGTACAACTGAAGTAAGCCCTCAAGTACTAGAATATGCTTGGCCCTTATAATAACAGGTCTGTGACTATTCTGCTCTGTAATTACCAACACGGTATTGTTTTGCCTGCTTAAACAACACTTTAGGATGACAGTAGAGAGGACCAAGTTTGGAAAAACTTCACTTGGGAGGTTAACTATCCTGCTTATGCATTATTACACGTCAGTCCTCACAACGGTTTACAGGATCTATAACAACCACTTTCATTTACTGGATTATTTA